ATTTGAGGTCGCTAGGACTATTGTTTCCAATCACTCGTTTCTATTTTTCAGTGTCTGCACCGACTTGCGCATGAATCGCCTATTTGAATTAGGGCTTCCATAGTCAGCACTTCGTACAAAGCACACTCCTTTTCTTCAAGGAAGGACTTGTATTCTCCCTCCAAATTGGGCTCATAGACCTGTAACTAGATGCTCGCTTTCAGTGCTCTGTCAAGCGTTTGGGAAATTTTTTGGAGCTTGTGTTTTACATCCAGAAGTCGAAAGGAGGAATAAGAAAATCATTCGACACAACCGAATTTCATGTGGTATAGTTAGTAAAATTGTACAGAGTGTTAATCAGTTTGAGTTTCTCGGTTCCAGCGTTTCTTTTCAATCAGAATTAAGTACTAGAATTATTCTTACTTTCAGTGCTTTTGATGACATGTCCAATATTTCGGCTAGAATAAATGCAACCCTCTCCACAAAACGCATGCCTAGCTATTCAAATGTTAAAGAAGTAGGTCCGTATTGATCGGTCGATTTTTCGAACTAAGATATCCTAGATGAAGTTGAACGATCTTCAGCCTGCTTTCCTTCTTAGCTGGTTGACCTTTGGACAGCATCGCTTGTTAACTCCTTGGTTCAGATAGATATAGCTTTCTATTTCTTTTATACGTTTGCCATTAATCTTTATTTTGGCCTTCTGAAACATGGAGGGTTTGATGTACTTTATCTTTTGTCAGATGATTTTTAATCTCGTTTCTCTGCTTGTTTGTCTAGTCCTTGCAGCATTTCATTGGTTTCATTAGTAGTCCTTTCCCTCTGTCTTTGTCTGCCTTAGTACAGTTTCTAGTTAGCCCTGAATAGGTTATGAGAAACACCGTCTCCTTGTTCCACGACTTTCTGAGCTAAGATTGGCGAATGGCTGTGTCGTGCAACGTTATATTATGCGTGCATGTGCTACTGCTTTCCATAACAGGCTGAGGTCGACTGCGTCGAACCCCTATTTGTAGTTGACGAGCGCAGTGCGCAAAGGAACGGCAGTCTGTACCCCTGGAACGGTTCAGTACTTGATTAAGAATAAGCATGTCTATTGTGCTTATGTTCACTCGAAATTCCACCTGTCCTCTTTGCTGCTGCTCATGGGACTCCTCCATATTTGAGGTGTAATTGATTTTTTGAGCAGCTTGTAAACATAAGAGAACAACCATATTGGGCGATATTTCTTTTCGTCTTCGCGATAACTCTTGTTACGTATCAAAATTGTGATAGAATCTTTCCTCACGATGAAATTTTTTCATTTCCTAGTATCGGCTGAACCTCTGAACAAGAGCTACACAGAGTTTTCCACCGCTTGCTTTTATCATTTCAGTTGTTGGCCTGGTCCGTCATTTTCGAGCCAGCCTTTTTTTCATTTTATCTGATGAACTGCATGCCGAACCTCACTCGCAATGATAGGAAGTGCTCTGTCTTTCGACTGCTGGACTGTTGGTGCTGGCATGCTTCGTTTTCGAAGCAGAGAAACGTTCTACAGATCGCTTTCTTGCCAGGTTTGTCTGATATGGTTTCATCTTCCTTGTTGTTCAGCTTCACGACAGTTGGTATGTAGAGCGCCAATAGCCTCCTACGTTTTACTTGTCTTTCCTTGCCTCCTAAATCAGTTTTTAATTTCGAAAGTTCTTTCAGTTTGAATCTGATTTGCTTGTAAACAAAGGAGCACTCTTCCTTGTCATTACCGTCTTTTCATGTTCATTCTCCTTCCTGGCATGTTTTTATTTGCCAGATTTTTTTCTCTCTCGCTTCTCTTTGTCTTTCCAGCTCGGTTGCCCTTATGCTTCGCTTGATTTCGTTGGCATAGTCCTCATCGAAGCTGTGTTTCAGGCTCTAGTCTTCGATGGAAATGATTAAACTCAGGCTTTTCTCATCAGTCTCTTTCGGTAATTGTCTGTTATTCGTTATCCTTGAGATCTACTTCCTTAGTTGTTTTCCTTGAATACAAGTCTTGCCCTGAGTAGGTGATAGCGTCAGTCGGTTTGTTAGCATGACACTGTGGTGACATCTGTACAATGCGACGTTTGTCCAACAGTTCGTAATAAAATGTATTCTTGGTTTCCGCGTTTAATGCGATCCATATCCAACTTGTGGGTCTTGTTCTGAAACGGGTGTTATCATTGAACATTTCCTTTGTCTCCGCTACAGTTATCTGTCTCTCTCTTGAATTTTGTTCTCCAGTGGTACTCCCATGAACGAAAGAAAACTTTTAACTTAACTTCTCGCCTTCATGCTACCTCCGCATTGAAGTCTTCCAAATTGATGATTTTTTTGTAGATTTTGAGTTAGACATTCTCAAACTCTTAATAGGATTCTCGTCGTTTTCTTCGCTAGCGCTTGTGCGAGCATAAATCTGGATGATCCTGAGTGTGCGATTCTTAGTCAATTGCAGATGAGTATTCCTAAGCGTGATGGTTTCAGCTGAAAGGTAAACAGAAGGAAATAAAAGTTTGTAACCGGTGGAATGTCGATCTTCCACTTATATGGTGGGCAGAAGGGTAATTGTATAACGCCCTTGTTTTCATATTCCTTGTTTCCATGTCATAAGTTAGGAGTGCCTTATTTTTTAAGTCAGATTCGACAGCAGCTATGT